CGATATCGCAGTCATGGTGATTCGTCCGACATCGGTTTTTGCGTGGAATTTAATGCGGAATTCCCTCATCAAGTAATGAATTTTCCTATTTAATTAACTTTCTGCCATTAGTTCTCTTTGTTGTATACTTGTGTTGCCCATTAAATTAATGGTTAGTTAAAAGGAATATCATCGGGGCAAAAATCAACCAGATCGAAGAAAGAAATTTATTTGAAGGCCAGGCGCCACTGTTCACTCAGAAGTAGCAAATTCCTGGAACGCGGATGGGCTAGGGCAGACGATAAAGTCTGGATAGTGTTTAGTTTTGTATCTGTGCCATTGAAACAGAGGTACACGGTTGCTGGACCATGCACTGGGTGTGGTGAAATCAAAGCACTACAATAATCTGGTAAGATTAAAATATTTTCGATTGCATTCAAACGACGGGAAGGTGATTGCGGTTTAAATTATTTTTTTACCCAATTACGATGTTTTCATTTTTGGTGAAAAAGGATGATTAAGCATCATTTAACAAAGAATTGATGATGAAATTTGGTGCATGAGCATTATTTAAGTTCAAGATCCAACAGAAAATTTCGTTACTTTATTAATGCGAAAAGTTCAGGGGTTTGAATGATTTTTTTTCTTTTCTGAGTTTTAAAGGAATTTCTAGAAAATTTGAGGTGAGTTTGCTTGTTCCCGTAGTCTGCCATACCAAGAGAATATAAACTGTTATAATATCTTGCTCGCACCGGCACAGACAAGTAAAAAAACGTTTGTCTTTCTGCGTGAGATGATTGCAAACTGTTGTTGATGGTGAATAACTGTGTCAAGGAAGGAAAAAACAGCTGTTGACTCTTCTAGCTCTAGTTCTTTTTTGAAAGAAAATATCCTCCCAAAGTCAAAGTCAATTAATCACTGCCTGATTGAAGAGCAACCAAAAAATAACTTAATGTACCAACGTATGTCAGTTTAACCTAAAAAGTTATTACATGGAAAAGAAAAGGAAGGCCTTATATTGACTGTGATATTGTTAGAAGTTTCTCTAACATCCAATTAGTATTTCTTTATTTCTTGGCTTTGAACTCGTAATACAACTTTCTTCTTCTTGGGACTAGCTCAGCTTTTAACTCTAACCAATACAATTCAACTTTATTCTGTTCTGATTGGAAATGTTGTGCACCAGCTTATAAAGGCGACACAAAAGGTGACACTAAAGGTGACACTATAGGTGACACTACTAAGCTGTCAATCTTCTTGCATCGTCAGCGTTCTATCTCAACCAGCGAATCACTTTAAATTACGTACAACAGTTCTTGCATGCTAAGTATGCGTCTTCGAGTTGTTTACGCAGTTACAAAATCATTTTCTACCTTAAATTTTATACTTTTACGGGTAAGATCGGCCTAAACAGATACAAGATTGATAATATAAAAGTTTTTAATTAACCTATTGGCAGAATTAGAGTCATATTTGAAAAGATATCTTGAGCGAAAATCATGATAGCCTTAGAAGACTGTTACATAACAGCGCCCCCAGAGATGATAAGTGGTCATGCGCAGTTTGTCTAATTCAAAATTCAGTGTGGATCTTGATGTCATAGAAAGGTAGCAAATTCTTCTCAATTATTTTAAGACTCTGAGTGTTGGTCCGGCCTGGGCTGAACCCTCGACCTCCCGCACAAGAGTGCAGCGCTCTATCCATTGAGCTAACCGAGAGGTGTCGAAGGTGTTAAATTAAAATCTAAGAAAGATTCCTTGATCGTGAATTTGACATAGAATTTGTTCCAAAAAACGAGTCTGAGAATAATCAAAAGTATAAGAAGCAGGAATTTCCAGGAATTCCTGTACAAGGTTAACTTTTACCAGAGAGATTTACTATTTTCCTTAACTAGCAGATTCGGAAATCAGTTACATTCCCTGCTATGAAAATATTGAAGTCGAGGAAGCGACTTTAGGTGAAGCGAATGCCGCCTCGCTAACAGAGCTGGAAGCAGATACGTATAAGCCCTACGAAGATGAGCCGATAGCGACTGAAGAGTGGGTTTGTGAGTATCAACGAAAGCAAGAGACCCAAGCTGAATTCGAACGAAAGCTTCAGGACCGTTATGAGAGAAAAGATCCAGTAAATTCGAGTTGAGTCAGACCTAGAGCGTTCGCACGTTTGCCTCATTATGTTGGATTGTTATACATTGACATTTTCTTCGTGTTCATGGTCTTCATCATCATATTCATCGGAAGGTTCTTCAACAATGTTGTCAAGTTCAACTTCTTGACCTTCCAAAAACTTTGAAAGGAACAAAAATGTGAAAGAAAGGAATGGCTCTGTAGTTATTTTGTCATATCAGCAACTGTTAGGATGGGCATAATTCTATTAGAATTACATGAAAGAAAATACCTGCTCTATTTTCCTCATAGTGTTTCTTCAGTTTTTTAACCTTCACTCTGCTGTTCCTTAGTTTTGTTTTAGCAGTAATTAGCTGATTATTCAGCTGCCGGTTTCTCTTGATCAACCTTTTACACAGTCGCAACAATCTGGCATGACAGTGCAAACTGTTGATTGCTCTTCATTCTATATTATACAATTACAAAAACAAAAATATATTTGATTTGTATCTCTGAACTTTGCAATGAAGATTAATGCATTTTCAAAATATTAGAAACGAATCTTAAAAGCCTAAAAAATGTATTCAACATAAATTTGCAGAGCCAGTTTGACCGCTACGTAGCCATAGACCAGCTAAGAGACGGAGACAGAGTTTAGTTGGCCTGTAGCGGAATTCACGCTTTTCCATTTCATTGCACCCACCAAGGTTAAAAAAAAAAGGTCGAAACGTGAATACGTAAAATGCCTTCAAACAAGTTTCGTACCAATTCATGCAGTTCATTGACACTATCTGTGTTGTTTCCATCTAATCCTGGGGAGTTGTTTTCAGCCAGTACAGCTGAACTTTGAAGTTCCTTCCCTTCTGGTTCGATTTCCGCGACTGAATCGCTGCTACATGTGGAGGACGCCGTCGCCGTTGCAGTCGAAGCCTCCATCCGTCTCTTTGCATTCTTGAGCGTCTAAAGGAGTTCGAGATTAAAGTTAAACATGATTATTTCAGAGGCCTTTTTTTGGCTGTATAAATGAATCTAGAAGTGCCCCAAAACATTTGACAGCTCTTACCGCTCGTTCGAGACGACTTTTTGCACTTTAACTGACGACTGTTTTTTTGGTGACTGCTTCGGCATGAACAGATGGCATAACGTTTATGCCGATTTCGTATCGTTTTAGCCTTGGCATGATCGGCTTCTTGGTAACTTCGTCGACGAAGCTGCAGCGGCGAACATAGTCGTTTTCAGTGAAGTGCCTTGAGCAGACTGACGAGTTTCGGATCCACTTCTTTCGGCGTTTCCTTGCTTCTGGACGTTCGTCGTTTAAAAATGGTATAGCATGTAAAATCAAACCGTTCTGTACATCTGGGAATGCAGAACATCCACCAACCACACATCTACCCGGCATATTCTTTACGCGTTACAGAAAGTCGAGAGAGAAACTTGCTGAGGTTAGCTAATGTTGTTTGACTGAGATACCGGGTTGACGTCAGAAGCTAGTTAGTGCCCAATCCCTCAACTGCTCCTTTTTGTATCCAACAAGGCGGAAAATGTGCTTCAAATTGCGACTTTCGTCATCAGATTAAATGGAGACAGGAACGAGAATACGTTTAATTTCTTCAGAAAACGTCTAAAAAAATACATAGATTTTTGAAATTTCATATAACCTGCTATGGGTGATAGACACTTTAAAGCAAAATAGTATTTCCATACTTTTTTCTTAACACTTAAATAAGTCTAAAAATACACTCAATGAAAATTCTTGCTAGATTTCAATTTTGTCTTTTAACAATATCTTCCTTGACCTTCTCGGACAGCTGGGGGAGAGTGAATATTCAAACAGTATTCAAAATGATTTCAAAATGACAAGCAGCAATTACTAGGACATGAAACCATTCCAAAGATTTTTAATGGCGCGGAGTTTATACATCAATGCTTTCTGTTTGATATTGACGATATCAGAGGATGATACGAGTTAAGTTACATTCCAATTCAATAGAAGTGTCACTTTCGCTAAAGCTCATATCTACGAATATCATTCTTAATGCTCGTTAATCATTCTCACTCTTCTTAAGCTTTCTACTCATCAAATCATCTCCTTCTTCGTTTTGACCTGTCAAACAGATGGATTTTTTCATCGTACCCTTCGCTTCTTTTCAAACATTTAAAATAGGGATGAGGTTCAGTTATGCGTGAAAGCGCGGTTAAGATAAAACAAGTATACTATAAACCTCACAAAGTGGTATTCAATCGCATTTCTGAAACTGATGACGGCCTCCTTCCACACCAAATTAAGCATTGCAAATACTTTCCTGCTAGGAGCCCAATAACTTCCTAAACGGCATTAAGGTGACAAAAATAAAGGAAATGATCACCAACTAAAGAAGCTCTTAATTCTTAAACAAATTCTCCTTGTCAGCGCCTCCGTAAATGTCTAGAGAACAGTATGGAGAGTGTGTATATTGATGTTAGGGTGTAAGGGGCTCACAGTTTCCTTTTAGTATCAGGTCTATTTTTTTTTGTTTTAATATCAGTTCTAAAGCTGATGATTCCATTTAAAGACAAATTAAGTTTTGCAAATCTATTTTTATGCTTTCGTTTTTGAAGGCCATAACCGTCTTGGCATAAGCCAATATAGACCTATCACGTGATCAAAATGATATTAGACTGGAATGAAGCGTGCCGCCACGTAATTAAACGGAGATTGAACTGGCGTTGACTCTTACTATCACGTAATCAGAGGGAGGTTATCGGACTGGAGTAGCCCATACCATCAAGCTTACGGCCTTGCCACCAGTTTACTCTTATTTTGCAAAATACGTATACTGCATGGTGATACCTAAAGATTATTTGCTCTCTTTTGCGATGGGATGCTTGTCTATAAATAGGGAATCATGATTGAAGGATCTAGGGGTTGTAAAGTAAACCATAACGCAAAGTCTACAGCGCTGAAATCTAGCGTATTGGAAATTCTCGGGTAAAGTACTGCGGGTATCTAGTTAGTATAGGAAATAGCTTGGTCTTTAGGGTGTTTGGGGCGAAAACCGCGAATGATATTTAAAATTTCTCTAAAATATGACAAGTCGGTGAGGCATGTTTTGGTCATTACTATGGAATGAAATACAATCAAAAGGGGTTTTCCTTGCACGTGACGTACTCGACACCGTCTTTATTTAATGAAAAACCTTACAGAAACGTGTCGTGATTTTCCTCGTAATTCAAAACACTAAGTAAAAAGAAACCACATTTCCGGATCACTTTTAGGGACCACGCACGGTGACTGGCTGCCAAGGAGCCCTTTGGACCACAACAGTTCTTCATCTTCGGTGGTCAGTGGCTGTTAGCAAACTCCCTGTTCTTGGTAATGGAAATACTTCCGTCTGCTTCCTTTAAAATGACGGTCCCTCTGTCTCACCTCGGTAAAAAAACTCCTCCAGCTTCACAACAACTTCCTTGGCTTGGCAGTTAACCATTTTCTCCTTTCAAGAGGAAGGCCGTGTCGGTTATATCAGCGATCATTCTGTTATCTGACGTGATTGAAGCTACTTGAAATTTGTACCTCTATCTCGCTTCTTTTTATTACTGAATCTGTGGACTTGCTTTAGTTTGCTTTCTCCCGACAACTAAACCTGTCATGATGTTCCGTTCACTACAATCAGATTTTCAGTTGAGATAACGAGTAAGTACCTCTCTGTTCGTGATTGCGTCCAGGATTACCCTGACGTTGGGTAATTTTCAATGTTTTGCTGTGGGGTACTTTGAGCAAGGGGGATAGATTTTTTACTCGATCCCTGTTGATTGTTCGCATTGTTCGACTCTGATTCACTACGAATTCTGTTGAAAAAATCCCAGCGCTGGATACTTTTAAACTCTTTCCTAAACAACGGATTCATTCCAGCGTATATGAAAGGATTAATGGTGTTGGACAAATTGAAGGAGAAAGAAGTCAACAGCTGAGCATTGCGAGGAATTTTGTCTCCGAAAAAGCGTGTCAAGACAGCAATGACCCAAGCGGGAATCCAGCACAACATGAACGCAAATACCATGACGAATAATGACCTGCTTATTTGGATTTCATGTGGGCTGACATTGACTATTCGTCTTTGACTTTGATGGACCATCGCTAAATTGATGTTGTGTTCCTGGATCTTTCTGGAAACTTTTCTGTAGCTGAAAATTGTCACCGCCAGAGGAAGGAGGAGAAACAAGCTAACAACGATCAAATAGTGAACTACTTTTCTAGATGTACTCAGATGTCGGGTGAAGCACCAGGCATATCCAGGCACAAAGTGTGAGCCTTGTAGACCAGCCAAGTGAGGAACCAGGATGTAACAGGTAACCAAGCCCCACGCTGAGGCCAGCACAAGGCGGGACCTTGCTGGCGAGAAGAAACGTTTATACTCAACATCTGACTCGCACATTTTCATGTATCTGTTGACTGCTCTGTCAAACACATCGTCACAGGTGAAACGTACACGGCAAACGTGCCGATAGCGGCGTTTATCCGCAAAACTTCTCGCCAAAGGGCCATCTTCCTGAGATGAGTACTCCCGCCGCAAACGGCATGATGAAAATGGCGCTCAAAAGATCGCTGATAGCCAGTGCAACGATGTAAATATTAGTGCTAGTACGGAGTCTTGTATTCCTGTACACGGCTATACACACCATGATGTTGCCTATGAGAGACAAAATATTAAGTGCAATCATTAAGCCGGACTCCACAATGGTCAAAGCTTCACTTCGTGTTTGAAGATCGGCCATTCTAATTCGTGGGTCATCGCCGTTGCTGCGACTTTTACTTTCCTTCTACTAATTCAGTTGACGAGACTAATTTTATTCTTTACCGGTTCCTTAGGGCTTCTAGGAAGTGACCTTTGTATGATGGTTGCCACCAAAAATCGACGAAATATTTATGCGTTTAGTTTTCCAAAACAAGACATATCATTGGAGACGTAAAACAAAAAAGGAAGGCCAGCTTAATGTTAACAATACTTTCATTAGCCTTCTTGGACAGCTAGTCGTAATTAAGGTCATGCTTAGTGCAAGAGTTTTTTTGTCTAGAAAGTCAAGCAGCGATCAAGGATTTATGAAACCATTCAAAAGAAAAGGAATTGTGTGGAGGCTATTGATCTATGCTTTTGACGCTTACTGTTCGATATCGGAAGATGTTTCACGAGTCTTTACATCCCCTTTTAATAGAAGTGTTACTTTCGCTAAAGCACATCTCTCATTCGTTACCCTCCCCTTCACAGATATTTTAAAGCAATTAGAATAATAAGGGTGATGCGCAAATTAAGATGAAACAATGCTATAAGCCTTACAAAGTGTTATTTAAGCGTATTGTGACGATAGAGTTTTCGCGCACAAACTGAACTCTCACGGAAGGCATAACAATAATGGGAGAAACTAGCTTGGAAAAGGCGACTCGGCAGCAGGAACGGAAACTTGTCAAGATTTCCTGGTACACGGGGGCCACTTCAAGCGGGCTTTTACGCATGTCAGGGACGAGACTGCGTTTTGTTTCACAGTAACTTTTATTCTAGGGCAGGCCAACAACTGACATGACCTCTAAGGTACTCAACTTCGTTATCGAAAAACATTTACAAAGTATGAACTGGTGTGAGGTTCTGTTGTTCTCTAAATTGACAATATTTGAATAAGAATACAAAATAGCGAAAAGGTTTCTTCAATTATTTGATTTCTATTTCGATATCCATATGTGAAAATTGAGAAAGCAGATTCAATAAACTCCAGGCCATTAAAAATGGGAAACTTAGGTGAGAATTCTCAGCTTTGATACTGGAAATATACCTATCGTAATTACAAGAGCAACTTATAAAATTAAGTGAAACTGCTTATCTATGTAAGGTTGGTGTTTAGTTTGATCGTATGAAAGGAAATTGAAATTACGAGCTGCCAATTACCATGAGAACAAATTTTGCCAGAAAGACCATTAACACTTATGTTTGCCTAAAAAATTTCACTGGAATTGAACAACGAAAGTACCGACAGGCAGCTGTACAATGAGGACAAAGTAACAAAGCAAAATCTATTTCCAAAAACTACTGCGGCTTTTCTGTTTTTAGAACATCGCAAAAACGAAAGAATTCGAATGAACATGAATATGTGGGAAATAATTATACATGAAAAGTTTATGAGGAAATGTCTCGAAACCCACGAAAATACCTAACTTCAAATTTTTTTAATAAATTGCAACACTACAACATTTCGGCTATAATTTGCACAATAGAACAATTTGTAAAGAACCCATTTTTTCATCATTCTTTACAGCTCAGCCGGTCAAGTCAAAGAACGAACAAAATACAAGCTCTAGCCGGCAAAGCAGGCGTAATTTGGGCGATCGAGTGCTCTGTATTTTCTTAGCGAAATATGGCTGCCATCTTTGATTTTTATATCAGCCGAAGGCTGGGGGGAGAGAAAGAAATTTGTACTAAGGGGTGAGCGACAGTCAAAAAGAAGGAGAGGGGCTTGGGTGGTGGAGTGAATATTACGCCTGCCCGAACTCATTGTTACTTTGCAAAACTCCGTTCGGCCACGAACGGAATTTCTGATTGGTGCGGTTTTGCTGTATTTGTCAATGACAAGCCAAATGTGTCACGTGGACACTTCACACTTGCTGCAAAAAGAAAAAAACTTTATTGATGGTGCAGTTCTTAGCTTCGATTTCGCTCTCAAGAATTTGGTATATATCGCGCATTGAGATTGGAACAAAAAAATAAAAAGCAATTACTACACTGGTTTCTGGAGAGGATCTACAGACCTTGTTGCCGACTGGCTTTGGAAATTATATGACGGAGAAACCTTCGAGCGTAGTTGTCGTTTTTCCCCTTCGAAGTATATATTACGATCAAATGATGGAAGCATCTTCGGGATTCTTCTCGCCCTTTCCCGCTCCCCTCCCCCCTACCGTCGACTCTGACACCAAATTAAACATGGCCGGTTAAATAAACGATAGGACGCCTGCATTGCAGGCTCTACAAGCACTAGATTGAAACCCGCAAAGTAAAACTTGAACTGAAAATAAGACTCGAGCTACACGTCAGTAAAAATTCTAAAAAAATAATCCGAAACTAGAACGCATAAATTTTCCTTTAACAGTATTTTTTAACACTTAAATGATTGCCAACCACAGAACTTGATTGATAAGCAAATTCTCCCTGTCAGCCCTTTGAAAATGAATAGAGAACAACGTGGAGAGTATAAACAGTGATCAAACAGAGATTAGACTGTATTAGCACATAGTATCACGTGATTAGAGGGAGATTCGCCTAAAATGGCTTATACTATCAAGTGATCAAGGGGAGATAGACTGGAGTGGCCAATAGGATCACGTCATCAAACGGAGATTAGACTAGAATAGCCCGGCCCAAACTTTCACGTGATGAAATAGAGATCAAACGGGACGCCTGTTCAAATCCTTCTGCGAAACGCGCGTCATTTTCCCTGGAAAGAAGCGAATTAATGAGCACTTAGCTCAATGACATTGAGGCCTCCCTAACTCCGAGTCTTTAACCCCTTGGACTGATAAACATCTGATTTCTCCCAACAGTGCTACCCCTGAATCAAACATTGAGGTGATGAGAATAAAGGAAATGATCGCAAACTCAAGAAGCTCGTGTTATTTAGACACATTTTCTTTGTAAGTATCATAAGGAATATAATTATGGAAAACAGTAATGAGAATTTGCATACTGATGTAAAGATGTAAAGAAAGGGTTCACTAAACAATTGTCGGGTAAAAGATGCAAACTTTAAACAACTCTCGTCATATTCAGAATTTATCACGCTTTCTGACAACGGCGGTGATTCGGTTACTCATGACTGCCTAAGATTTTCTTAGGAATAAAAGTCAGTGCCATCAACCAGGGAATACTATCGTCTCATTCCTTTAACTGGGGATCCCTTCCATCCTGCTCTTTGAGCCGGATTACACTTTATTTGCTGTTATCTAGTAACCTGTTCTTAAAATAACAAAAAAGCGATGCTTTCATCCTAAAATTGCTTTCCCAAGTTAAGAGTGACTGTAAATTCGGTACACGGTGGCTCTAACACTTAGGTTAAGACACACATTGAGTCTTCGTCCAGCGAATGAAGTCTTAACCAAGTTTGGGCTATCACATTCCTACATTACAGCCCGTGACTTTGAAGAATGATTGGTCTCTAAACCAAAATAAACTCAGAATGGAATTCTGTATAAGCGTGAAGTGAATGCTCGACTCGTGAACGAATTCTACCATTTTTCAATCAAAGTTACCGGAGAGAAGTGCCGTAGGTGACAGAAGATTCGTTAGATTCGCTGAGTGAATTCTTGATACTGCACGTTGTCATACCATAGCTGAGCAAGAGAAGTGGGAAGTACTTAACTGGACGAAATACAACTCACTTTTGCGTTGATGAAGTATTTCTCGAAATGTCGCAAAAGAAGAGTCCAGTCGGGTAAGGATTCATATGTTTCGCCAGGTGAAGCTCATTCGACATTGTCTGTGTTTTAAAAAAGGTGCAGCAGACCACAAGTGGCTACTCGAGAGCCTGACAGAGTTATTCACAAAACACACTCCCATGACTAACCGGTAGTTGGACAAAAGTAATCCCTGAAACTTCATCCAGTGAAAAATGAGTACTACACATCCCCAGGCTATTGTTTACGCTCCACACCTGATCTATGTTCTTTGCTTTCGATGAAATTAGATAAAAATACCATGTTTTCACAGGTCAGTTTATGTATCGTGTGTTTAAATTCACCTTGCGAGTTCAAAACCTTTAGAACCGTTTTCAGCTGGACCCCTAAAAAATAAAAGTACACATGGTAAAACATTTACAACCACTCACGGTAGATTAAGTCCCATTCCAAATGTTTCATGAAGTGAGGAAGTCAAAGCTATCGATATTTACCAATAACAGACACCACAAAAATCTCACTGGCAGTTTCTATGATAAATCGATCAATATCGTACTACGTTATCATGCTCTCGTTTTACTTCACATTGAAACGAAAACAAAAGGTATCACACGCGCATCGCACGCGCGTCCAACGCGTCTTACTCCCACGAAATCATTATTTTAACGATAATCACAGGAAAGGGGTAATAATAATAATAATAATAATAATGATAATAATAATAATAACAACAACAATAATAATAACAACAACAATAACAATAACACTTTGACCATGGCTCGATAACCTTTTAATTAATAATAGGGATTGATCTAGTTTCGGTTTTAGGAAGCCCTTTACAATCAGCCTGTTTTTGTTTTTACTTTTGTGAGGTTTTGGGCCTTATTTGTTTGATTGGTTTTTTATTATTGTATTTTTAGCACACATTCAACTGCAAACTAAAATCTAACGCCTGTACATGTTTGTCATATGGACCGTTGGTTTAGTCATCACCAGTAACATACACTGCACTTGATACAGTCGTGTAATTACATGTACCTATAGGGCAGTCAAAGGTGTGGGGTGGGGCAGGGGGGCACAAATTCATGAGTTATATGTACATGAAGCATTAAGTATGAAGACAACTACATCACTCTGATCCTTTGGTCTGTTAGGACACAGATGCACACCAGTATTTCTGTGTCAATGAGTGAAAAGATAATGCCTTTAGCCATCACGTTTAAGTTTTCCACCCAAGGGTAACTTTGTTTCCAAATGAGTGGAGTGCACTGTAGATTTATAGAATGGTAGCCACAGTGTCTGTGAATTGAGGAGACTTGAGGAAACAAAATCCCATGACTAGACTTAATCAGGTCACGTGAGTAAAATACCAAAACACTGGCTTTTAACTTGTGTATCAAGTTGCAAAAAGGTTCTCGACTAATGGAGGGGACAACACATTGCTGCATGAAACCAAAAGCAGAGACTATTTGCAAGGGTGTGTCCAATGTTATCTTCTGTACTAATCTTTCCTACAATACACTACAGTTTTAAATTTTACAATATTGTACTAAAATGTTCTACTCTACCTTGGCAAACGAATGACATTATCTGGCAGTTTCTGTTCCACTTGCAATACTTGTGGTCTGACATCTTTTCTGTTTAGTTAAAACAATAACATTTACATATTAAGCTATTTGCAGAGTGAGGACATGTGTGTTTTCTGCTGGAAGAAATAACCACAGATAAGATCTTGTGACAGGAGCAGTATTTAAAAAAAAGACAAAGAAAAAAAGTTTATCAATGTTGCATTATGCACAGGCTTGTAGCTAAGGGGGCTGGGATGCCTGTGACTAAATAACTTGGGTGGTAAAAAGAAAGGATTGAAGGAATCTACAGAAAAAAGTTATTTTTTAATAAATCAGAGCATGGATGACAACACAATAGTAAGGTAGGTACCCTGGGTAACCATAGCTACACCTCTGGTATATACATGACTTGTACATGTATATAAATTATGTGAAAGACATGGTATGGGTGATTTACAGGTGTAACTTACTCTGAATCATTGTTTTCATCTGATGCTGATCCTAATATCCGTGCCCTAATAAAATGAAAGGATAACGAATAATAACAATATTAAAAAGCATAGTTGACTTACTAATAAAATCATTAATAGGAAACAATACAGAAACCACACAACCTCAAAGTTCATATGTCTTGAAGCAAGCACATGCAGCTGGGTATCTACATTGCATTTCATTTAATATGTACATGTATGTGGACCATACAAGTGTAAATTAAGTACAAAAGTTTATAACAATCTCAAGTAAGCCTACAAAGCAAACTGCATGATCAGTGCAAGAGCCATTTGTGTGATTTGTTTAATTGCAGTCAAACTCCATGTATAGAGAAAAGAAACAAACTGTTTTAACAATATTAATTTTGTTATAAAACTACATTGTGTACCTTTAACTTTTTCACTCCCACGATCTTATTAATAATTCTTCTTACTGTTTGCCATATAATTCTCCTGATGTTAGTTTGGAGAATGTGTCAGTGAATCACCTAATAATTACCTAATTGATATTTGTCTTTATTCTCATCACTTGTCTGCCTGATACTGTTGTATTGATACAGTAAAGAAAATTCCCTCCTGGTCACACTCAAGGGAGCTAAACGGCTAATCAATATGTTTAAGTATAATACAAAGTTAACATTGCATACTATTAAGGATAAAAAGGTTGGTAAAAAGCTGAACAGACTTTACAATTATTGCTTGTTTACGCAAATTTTTTTTTTTTTTTTTTAAATCCTCACCTGGCTTCTGCATATTGTGCTTGTCTTTCTGCTAAGGTTTTATGAGCAGGCTTCTCCTTGGAGGATTCCTGACCTTTTAAATGATTCGATCCTCCAGAATCTGGTCGTTTTAAAATCCTTAACTACAACATGAAAATGGAGAGATACATGAAGTTCTGAATCTGCTAACTTAAAAACACTAAGGGATATGCAATAATTTAACTATTTTTTTTGAAGGTCACAAGTATACACAACAGTTTGTATCTTACTTACTTGACTCTTCTAACTTGTTGTACACAACAATTGACAACTGATCACTTACTCCCACATGAGGTATTTCAAATTTACAAATCAGCTGGGTGCAAAACAACCATGGCTATAAAGCAACTGGATGCCATATCAAATGCATGGTTTATTAAAAAAAATTTTATACCTGTGGTTTGTAGAGTGTTCGGTTTGTATCTTCCTGCATTAGAATTGAAGAACCTGTCTTAGTTTCTTGTATCCTAAAAAAGTGACACGCATGAAGAATAACGGGCACTATTAATTTTACTTTCAGTTCATTCCACTAATGTCCAACAAAAGTCCCAACACAGAAGTCTGATTTAGCTGTTGTTTATCAAAACCGCTTTCTAAACTATCATCAATGTAGCTGAACCTTTCATCTGAACATTTCTATTTGTGAGCAGTATCAAGAGGGCCTTAAACTAACAGTGGAGGGACATTTATTTAGTTTCATCAACCGTTTCATTAAGAAAGACTGAGGCCCACAGCTTCAATAAAACCACAGTTTGGATTAGACTTCCTGTAAATAACCTACCCAAAAAGTCTTGAGGTATGGTTAAAAAAAAAAAAATAAAAAAAAATAATTCTAGGTGAAATGTTAAAAAAAACAAACATAAAATAATGAAATAATTTGGATGTATCAACAAAGTTGAAATGGTAAATTGGCCACCGTAGCGATTACAAAATTAAAATAATAAAGATGTGTAGCTAGCTCTACACGAACATCTTCATTCGATGCAAGTAACAATAGGTGTAGGTGTGATCTTCCTAACTTGATACATGTTAAGCATTCACAAGGCTGTTTGGCAATGGATACCATAAAGACATGGTTTTAATAATGATGACGTTTTATAAGGCGTTTTCCCAGAAAACACTTATCAACAGTTGAGTCTAATTTAGAGTAAAAATTGAAAGTAAAATATTACGGTATTTAATTTTATCATGATTACAGTACGGCAGAAAGAGGATGTTTCAATATATTTCAATTTTTATCCACAAAAATACCGAGTTAAGATTTTTTCAGGAAATTTTTTTTTATTGTGATTGTTCTTACTTTATGGTTGTATTTGAAGCTTTCTGATCCTTTTCTCGAATCTGTTTCTCACGTTCTTCCATTCGTCTTTCTAATTCCTGCAAACGGTATCAGTTGTAAAATTGACAAATAAATTAATTAAAAGTGGAATCATGGGTAGAATCTGTTTCTCCAAAGGTACATCACAACTAGAACGAGAGCGTTTGAAAAACAAAGCCATTCCTGGAATCCAGGGGTCAATTATTGGCAGATATGAAAACTACCTTGCAGTTCGTTAGTACAATTTCCGAGAAAAAAAATCGAAAAAGGGAGATTGGATTGCGCAGAAACTTATATGAGTCATAAAAGTGATGAAAATAAACATTATCTACAAATTATTTACCCCTGAATCTGCCATATCTTCCCAACTGTCCCAAATATCTTCATCTTCTTCCTCTGCCGCCATTTTGACTTCCGTATTTTCGACCACGCGTGAACAAACGGCGTAGCCGCTGACCGAGGATAGACAGAAAAAAAACACTAATATGGCGGCTAAAATAGCCCGAGCTGAGTCATCAATGGAAGTTGAAGATTCCATTTCTCGTGGATCGATAGAGGTTTGTCGTCTTATGCATCCTGATGATGCCAACTTAGCAGGCAATGTTCATGGAGGCACGATCCTGAAATTGATCGAGGAAGGAGGGTTTATAATAGCAACAAGGCATTGCAACAGGAATCGATCCAAAGAAGAGCCCGTTCTGGCTGCCTTGGCGCGTGTTGAAAGAACAGACTTTATACAACCGATGTTCATCGGTGAAGTCGCACAGGTTCACGTCCAGTTGGGCTACGCATCGAAGAGATCTTTAGAAGTTAAAGCCAGTGTCTGGGCTGAGAATGTTTTAACCGGAAGTCGTCGATTGACTAATCGCGCTTCTCTTTGGTATGTTCCAATCGTGATGGGATCAGATGTTCGAATTATTCCTGAGGTTCCCGCTTTGGAATATTGTAGCAAAGAGGAAGAGGAAGAAGGCAAAGAGCGATACGAGCTACAGAAGAGAGCCAGGCTTGACAAGGAGGAGCATTTTCAAGAGGTATATGTAAAGCTGTAGAGAGATGGATCGTGATTTAACCTTTACACTCAAGAGCTGATATGCAATTCCCCTTGAGATAATTTGGCGTTGAATGAAGATAACACTTTCTTGCAGATAAGTTTGTGTATACTATCACCTGTTCGGTGGCATCCATTTATGTCAACACTTCTGTGGTTATTAATGGTTGGCCTAATTTAGTTGGACTGTGCGAGGAAACCTGTGTTTTTACATTTTTTCTGAATGTCTGATTTTCCTGCCTGTATACTTAAAAGTGAATTTTATCTTCACAGAATCCCCCAAGCAATTATCTGATTTCACCGTCAGTTCACCCAGCTGGAAAGAACGTTTCACGTTATAGCGTGTTAAATTCGGAATCATCATTAATCCACTCAGTACAACCATCAGAATGTACAAAGGCTGGGTTTGTTCTTGGAGGAGTGACTATGAAAATGATGGATGAGGTGGCAGGAATTGTGGCATTTAGACACTGCAAAACTAATGTGGTCACTGCATCTATTGGTGAGTTTACTTAGCCTGGTGGGAATACTGTTTATGCAAAAGACTTTTTTTTTTACATTCTAAATCTAAATCTTTTTGGACAACTGTAAGAGAATTGATAATGCTTGCATTGCTGTAATTTTTAGCATGCAGCAGTATAAGATTTCATGAGGTACTAAATTTTATTTTCTCTACATCCATATTCTTATATAATTATTTAATATATTAAATATAGGATTTTTCATAGAAGCTAGGTACCCTCTTTAAATAATGTTCTTCTTCCTCTTTTTCTTCTTCTTCTTCTTATTATTATTATCATATAAGGGGCAAAATTACTGAATTGTGATTGGTCAAGACAGAGGGCATTTTTTTTCTTAATTTTTGTAATTGCCCTGGGCAAAATTACTTGAAAATGATTGGCTGAAAATCGCTTAGCAATGGCTGCCAAGGTAAAGAAATTTCTGTTTGTTTTGTAACAATGGCGTCCAGTTTTGCACGAGATCAGTAAGAAGATATTTTGCCCCTTATATTATAAACAAGTAATCACATGGTTCCTCGTAGAATTAAGGATTAATATCACTTGTGTTTTTGGAAGTTGTGGAAATTGCCCTCGTCGCTGTGCAACTCAGAAAATTTCAGCAACTTCCGGAAACACGCGTGATATTAATCCTTAATTTTACTTGGCCCCATACGATTACCTATACTTATTATTATTATTACTATTTTTATTATTATTACTGCTCCAAAGTTTGATAATGACAACTTAAGACAGCTTGCTTGCATGCCAGACCTAAACATGTTAAGCCATGATCTTAAATAACTGGGACACAGGCAAGTGTAATAGTAATATTCACTGTTTTTCTACTTTTAATTTACAATAATTGTGTTTATTTTCTAGATGCCATTGACTTCCATGCCCCTGTCAAGCTTGGTCATATTATACACATCACTGGCCGAGCAACATTTACTAGTGCTAAGTCAATGGAGATAGAGGTGGTTGTACATGCCAAGGATTATCATCTAGGTAATGGCAGTTTCTTGCTGCTAAATTCATCATCTAGAACACTTTTCAGTTGATTTTTGTAAGACCACAATCATAAACTCATAAAGGCCATTCAACATAATGGTGAATATCAGGTAGTCACTCATTATTACTTCAGGGTATATGTCATCAGTCATAATCTGAGGTTTAGGTATTGACCTAAAAGNTTATCATATAAGGGGCAAAATTACTGAATTGTGATTGGTCAAGACAGAGGGCATTTTTTTTCTTAATTTTTGTAATTGCCCTGGGCAAAATTACTTGAAAATGATTGGCTGAAAATCGCTTAGCAATGGCTGCCAAGGTAAAGAAATTTCTGTTTGTTTTGTAACAATGGCGTCCCGTTTTGCACGAGATCAGTAAGAAGACCTTTTGCCCCTTATATTAAAAACAAGTAATCACATGGTTCCTTGTAGAATTAAGGATTAATATCACTTGTGTTTTCGGAAGTTGTGGAAATTGCCCTCGTCGCTGTGCAACTCAGAAAATTTCAGCAACTTCCGGAAACACGCGTGATATTAATCCTTAATTTTACTTGGCCCCATACGATTACCTATACTTATTATTATTATTACTATTTTTATTATTATTACTGCTCCAAAGTTTGATAATGACAACTTAAGACAGCTTGCTTGCATGCCAGACCTAAACATGTTAAGCCATGATCTTAAATAACTGGGACACAGGCAAGTGTAATGGTAATATTCACTGTTTTTCTACTTTTAATTTACAATAATTGTGTTTATTTTCTAGATGCCATTGACTTCCATGCCCCTGTCAAGCTTGGTCATATTATACACATCACTGGCCGAGCAACATTTACTAGTGCTAAGTCAATGGAGATAGAGGTGGTTGTACATGCCAAGGATTATCATCTAGGTAATGGCAGTTTCTTGCTGCTAAATTCATCATCTAGAACACTTTTCAGTTGATTTTTGTAAGACCACAATCATAAACTCATAAAGGCCATTCAACATAATGGTGAATATCAGGTAGTCACTCATTATTACTTCAAGGTATATGTCATCAGTCATAATCTGAGGTTTAGGTATTGACCTAAAAGTCACTCACCTCATTCTGATCTGTTAGACAATTAATCTATGCATTAAATATGGATTAAATACATTATACCCTGCCTCCCCTTCTTGGTTTGGTGCTGTCCCCAAAATCTTGCCATTGTCTTCTGTTCATATAATATCTTTTCATATACCTTTGACTCCTTAAATGTTCTCTTTGTTTACTGAGAAGTTTATAGCATGATTGACAGCTTGATGGATTTTCAAACTTTAGAGTTTGGATATTATTAAAATCTGATGCGATGTCTAATTTGTTTAACTTGTATGTTCTTGTGACACACAGATGACAGCATAAGAGCATGCAGTGCATACTTCACATTTGTGTCTCTTGATGAAAAAAGAAGACCCCAGACTATTCCCTCTCTGGAACTACACACTGAGGAAGAGGCAAGACGCTTTGAGGCAGGGAAGAAAAGATATCAAATACGTAAAGAGAAAAGAGTGGGTCAAAGCTAAATGATGGGCCATGGTAGATTCTAAATCAAGCAACACTAATATCAGTTTCAGTGTTTTCAGCTCAGGCAATGATCACTGCAACTAGTTGAAAGGCTCTAGGTATTAAAACAAAGATTTTTCAAGATACCAACTACAAGTATATAAATACAGAATTTTTACTATGTTCTCCAGGAGTCAACAAAATTTTTCATATGATGAAACATCTGTGAAAATGGCTATGTTTTAAGACATCTTATTTTAGGATACTGTACCACATTAAAACTACTATAAATTTCTCATAGAAAAAAAACTGGAATGTTTTCACCTTTAGTTTTTATCTGCAAGTTTCAGAGAAACAGACTTAAATCTTTTATTTTGAACCCAATCAACATGTAAAGAAAAGACCAAAACTTAAATACATAAATGTAATAACAACTACATTGCACTGTTTACCAGTATAGTGATATAATATTATTTTAAGGTAAATTTTTGTAATGAGTAATATTACTGGTTGTATTTCAGATTTTGTAATCTATGTAATATTTAAATAAATATTTATGGTCATTTCAATTATTTTAGACCTATTATCTCAGAACATTATATAGATTCCCCTCCTTTGGGCCATGTGACTATCTGGTCTGCAGTTTGTGCATCTATCTGTTTGTATGCATGTCTGTGTGTCTGTCACCCAGTCACTCACTCAGTTGGTTAGTTAGTGTGTTGGCTGGCCAGCGGGAGGTGCAGTGGCCTCATGGTTTGTGCGCAAGACTCCGGATTGAGTGGTCTGGGTTTGAGCCCGGGCCGGGACATTGTGTTGTGTTCTTAGGCAAGACACTTTACTCTCACAGTGCCTCTCTTCACAGTATAAATGGGTACCGGCAATTTAATGCTAGGGGTAACCCTATGATGGACTTGCATTCCATCCAGGGGGGAGTAGAAATACTCCTAGTCGCTTCATGCTACAGAAACCAGAGTTAAGCACCGGCCTAATGGACCACTAGGCTCGTAAACAGACTTTACCTTTACTGGCTGCCAGCGAGTTGGTCAGTAAGTCAGTTAGTCAGCCTGTCAGTAGGTTGGTGGGCCTGTCTCTCCCCAGTATTTCTGTCTGTCTTCATATCAACTTTGGTAACAATAGCCTGCCAACGATATGCATGTTTTTATCAACTTTCTATATTTCACTCATACTAGTTGCTTTAATTTTCTACTTACACGTGAACTGTAAACACTTCAGTGACCAACTTCAAATAAGTCTCTGTTATCAGTAAGCCCCCTGTCTGTAGCTTCAAGTTTCTAATAAGCCCCTCCCTTACGAGCCTTTCCCCTCAGTTCTCATATAAATTTCTGTAGAGTTACAATTTTGAATTCAACAATAACTTTGACTCTCAACAATTTACACTCATACTTGACTCTCATCAATTTACACTCATACCTTGACTCTCATCAATTTGCACTCATACTTGTATCTAAATGCCTGTATTACTTTTCATTGTCATAACTGTCTGATTATCAACCATAGACATTTATTTAATAACTCCGGGAAACAGTTTAGAAGAATATTTTTGACTCAATTATGGGTTTCCACTACCCCCTTCACCTCTGTGATAAACCCCCTTTTTGATCTTAAGATACCGGCATGTTCGAGTAAATTGTAATTTTGCTCCGCATCTATTTGTTTTCTGCCAAATTCTTTTTTTAGATTCGAATGTGTGGTATCCTTCAAAGTAGCGTTTTCTGATCGCGTTTGTGTTTGTTAAATTAATTATAGAGCTCCTACAGCTTAATCACGTAGAATTTTTAAAATTACTTAAAAGTTCTCGTATAGTTACGTGATTTCCCTTACTTTGAGGTAGTAGATTAAGCGTGAATGACGCTAAAATGCTTCGAAACTTATACCTGATTGTTTCATCAGCCCTACTTATAGTTGACTCGCTTATACGCTGATGAACTAAAACGTCCTCGTTTCAAAGTTCAGCCCATTCCCAGAACTCAAGACTAGACTGTCGTCCCATTCTCATTATTGTTGACTCTGAGACTTACGAGATTGATACCTCGTGGAAAAATACCCAACGAACTAAAACTTGTTGCCGACTGAGAGAGCAGTGACAGTGTTGTTCCACTACGCACTCGACTCGGAACACGGCATCTAAATTTATTCATGATGCTTTTGAAACTACTGCGGTATTTTTGGCTGAATGTTATGTACAGGCATGGTGTCACAGCACTGTTGGTATGAGCCAAGAAGTACCTGACAAATTGAACATTGCACGATATTGAAACTCCGATAATTGCTTTGCGCATGACAAAATAACTGAGCCAACATGATATAAATGCGAGTGTAACAGCTAACAACATTTTAAAAACGTTTGCGTTCACCTTATCTTTGGAGGCTTCGTGTCCGTTTGTGCTTGCATTGCTCCTTGCAATTCTCCTATTCCTCAACTTAATTGCAGCCAGCATGTAAAGAACGACTATTAGAAACAGAGGAGCCGCGTAAAATATGGCTGCCAAGACGTTGTCATAGATTTTTCTACCTTTTGAGCTTCCAAATAACTTGTTTAGATATGCCCGGCAAATCAGTGCTCCCCCCTGACCAGGTGCGAGTTTCAGCGCAATGACGTTTGGCGTGTGAACCATAAAAGACACCAACCAAACTGCAATAAGAATCACCTTGACTCTGTGGACTGTTAACTTGTTGCCTGCAAACGGCGACACTGCTGAAAACCTCTCCACGCTGAGGAATACCAGAGTTAGGATTGTTACTTTCACTGATACCAGGTGAATTGTGGGAACTGTTTTGCACAAGACGAGACCCATGGTCCCTCCTACTAACCAATCATAGCTTCGTATCACCGCTGATATCATCCTTGGCATGTATACTATAGTTATAGCCAAGTCTGCAACGGCCATATTGGCTATAAGATAAATAACTGGTTTGCGCATCTTTCGGTCTTGCCACAGGACCCCAATAACGAGAGAGTTTCCACACAGCGAGAGTAATGAAATAATTGTGTAAGCCAGCACACGGCCAGCTTTGATAATTGCTTCGTCAGACTGGAAGCACACAGTTATCACTTTTTCGTGGGCCAACTTTGTGGAATTATTGCTAATATTTTCAAACATGATAAGAGTGAATTGTTGAAATTTTTATATTCGGCCGTTTCCAGACCACTTCTAAAAAGATTTATAAAAAAAAGAAATAATTTAGATACATTCGTATATATGAAGTTTGAAACTGTATAAAACAAATGAACTGATTTTTTAGGACAAAAAAATCTTATCGAGAACACGGAAAAAAAGCGGGAGAGGGTGGAAGATCTTTATTTTGATTTTGTTAAATTGGTCAGTATTTTCTTTTTTCTTTTTTTTTCTTCAGAATTTGAATCATATGCACGTCAAAAGGAAATTCTCAAGCGCATCTTTTGCAGGAGTAAAATTCGTAAATTTATCTCGTTAACTTGTTGGTAAGATGCAAACTCACCTTTTGTTCCTACAGTTCTGCAAAGTGTGGATTATAGCAACTGATTTTCAAAACAAAGGCCTTTGGTCGACAGCAAATACAATCCATCGGATAAAATACGAAAATGGTTTTGGTGTCACGCCGAGGAGCGGGGACTGAATGGAGCCTTTCATCCTGAAAAGAGCAATTCCTTCGACTCCCTGCTTGGGAGAACGATGGTTCCGCTTATATCTTTGGCTCATCCTTGAACTTTATCCTCATTTGATGGAAGTTCTCTTCGCACTCAAAGTCCAGTTCAAGAGGAGTCTTTAGCTTTCTTAAAATAGCTCTCCACGTGCTCAACTGAAGATAGGTTCTTGACAAAAGTGCAAAGAAGGCGTCATTGAAATTAATCTGCAATTTGTAACGCCAAATGAATCAAAGTCCGTGTTTATTTCTTTGAGGGAAAAAGAGTAGAAAGTTCTTAAAGATGCTTTCGAGGTACAGCAAAAAAGGCTTTAATAAGTGGAAGATGTCAGGTTCATGTTTATAGTGGCCCTGGTCTCGTGTTTGTTTTTGTTCCCTTTTTGAAAAGTAGGATTCCTTTCTTCCTATCAAGTTCTTTTGCTTAAGTAGCCTACGTTTCGTTTGATGTTGACATGAATTTGCACCTGAATATCTGAATAATGAATTGAAGATAATGTATGATCGATTTAACATCCTGCCAAAGTTTAGTACGGCTGTGAATCTGAACTGATAAACCCAACAGCTTACAGCCACCATCGCCTCGATAGGCTTTCTAAAATCAGCACTGCAGGGATACCTGAACAGTTTTTTTTTTGTTAATTTGGGGATAAAAAAAACTGGAGTATTTTTTCAAAATTGTCACACCTGCAGCCTAAGTGCACAAAACCTGAACAAAGGGTAGCTTGTCAGATACTTTGTCTAAATATTGTAAAATGGCTGAGAATTCTTAGAAAACAATCAAAAGAATCACAAACTGTCAAACACTGTTTAGCAATCCTTGCAATGCATATATGGATTACAAAAAACTCAGTCAATTCACAGATGCGTGCTTCAAAAGAAAACATTATCTGTGGAAACGAACTTCGTTAGGAGACATGATTTGCTCAAGTTTTCCTCATCCGTAATTTTTTTATCTATCACTTTTTGACTTAGTGTCTATTCCAAATTTGGAATATGTTTGGTAATGGAGGTTAGAAACCTTTCTTCTACGCAAGTTTCTCATTTCTCTGATTGAAAAACCGACGCGTCGCTAATGCAGCTGAATTTGCGTTTCAGATAAATATCCACTTTTAGATTAATCGCTGTTAGGCAATTTGTCGACCGGAAACTCTACTTGCCACTTTGAATTTATGAAAAAAGGTACTATAGCGACATGATTCGTTTGTAACTGTACTTTCCCGCAGTAATTCGTCTTCCTCTAACTACGTTTAAAATTGCATAATTGAATAAAATCTCGAATAAAATTGGTTGACGAAGCGAGGTATTTAGCATGGAATTGCGAGTTGAAAACGAGGCAAAGTGATATTGTTTCGCATCTCGCGTTTAGCGCGTAGGATAAAAACAAACAATGTTATTAATGTGTCCCTTTTTTTATTTTTCTTCAATTATGCGATTCAGGGAAAATCTATTGTCTGACTTGTGAATTCAACGTTAAATTGCACTTGAAAACCGATATCGCACTCCTTTCGTGTGCAATTTAACGCGGAATTCCCTCGTCAGGTAGTTAAGTTTCCTGGTATGAAACCTTTACCCTTTTATGCATTGTCATAATGTGGTGTAAAAGGAGAAATTGACAAGTATTGAGCCAAAAATACGCGTTTAGATCCGATTGATGATGAATCTCTTTGAGGTTGACGCTCAAACAGCTAATGGTCACTCTTTCCATATTTGAGTTCTTAATGTTTCAAACCGGGGGCCCGTTTCTCGAAAGTCCCGGTAACTTAACAGCCCCGTAAAGCAGTTCTGTGTTCATTCAAGATGAGGATTTCAAAAGTTTTGAAAATGATACAATGAATCTATCAGCTAAAGAAATAAAAAGGAATGGGTGCTAGAATCAGCTTTCCTATCCTATGATTTTAAAACATGTCTTCGGCCCGGCCCGCCGGTCAAGTTGCCTCGACTTTCGAGAAACAGGCCCTGGAACCGTTCCCACAAAATTAGATACTCAAAACTAATCCTGATATTCGTTAAGTTGGATCCATAAGAGGTATATGAAAACTTGCCACCTATAACCTACATCCAAGAGGAAAGAGATAAAAAGAAAAATCAGAATGTAATCAGTATGACGTTTTGTTATTTAAAGTTCCACATCATCGGTTGGTTGTATGTCCGATTCTCCATTAAGTCAAAAGAAGTGAGAAATGGATTGTGCTCCCTCTTAAATTCTCTGGTGGTTTTTATTAAGTTAAACATTTTCCTTCTTTGCCCACCCTGATCCCGTCAAGGAGAAAGAAAAAAAAAAAAAAAAAAAAAAAACAGCCGGTAGTCTATTTACATACTTCACAACTTCATGGTGAATCATTCTTGTTTCAAGGAAATGTTTCACGAAAATGAAGTCACTAAACACCACTTGGGAACAAACAAGACAAAAACGAGAAATCCTTGACAGATTTTTAAAAATTGCTTTGATACAATCTCCTTGCCGTTTTAGGAATTATCTATCAAACAGCTTTGTTGGTTCAAATGAATAATTGTTAGCCCCGCTATTTTTGTGTCTGTGTTTTTATGAAATCGTAAGGCAAAAATATTCACGAATAGACCCATCCCAACAAAATAGAGAAAGAGAAAAAAAAAACAAAAAAAAAAAACTAAACTCTACTGCTCCGTCATCTTGATCTCCTAGCCATGACTAAAGGTAGTTTCCGTCCTGTGGAAGTTCAACTCGAATGAGGTATTCCCATAAACGATATGGTGTACTTAGCTTTCCTAACTTTCCAAGGCTCTCACACTGTTTAACTCGATGTTAGATCTTGAGCGATCTCTTTTTGACGATGCACTTGCAAGCATGATAATCCATGGCTTTTCAAGTTTCAGTTTTTGGCGTATCATTTGAAAAGCTTTTCGATAATTCTCACTCAACGTAAGACAGATAATTGGGTTGCATGCACTGTTCAAGTGACCAAGAAAAAACCGCAAGAAGAGAACCTCACATGGAATAACCACATCCCAAAACTCCTGTAATGGTATAACGAGGAAATACAGCATCCAGCATAGAAGGAAAGCTGTTATCACGGCCAGGATCATATTATTCACTTTTCTGGTCGAGGCTGATACGCAATCCCTTGTGACATTGTCAATCAGGCCATGGCGACGCCTTAAGGAGACCACAATCACAGTGTATAATGTCATTATGATGAGTAGAGGCAGACCATAGAATGCAACTAGCATAGACTTGTGATACGACTTTCTTGATCGCTCCGTTTGGAAGCTGAGAGAGCTAATCCAAAAACAGCCCAGCTCGCCAGACTGAAACCGAATCGTTTTGACGCCGTAGAACATCGGGGATCGCGCCGCTAGCGACACCAGCCAAGTGCCGCACAGTAAGAGGGTGGAGAGCTTCTTCGAGATAACAACTCGTAAGGGAACCGTCACCGCAAAGAACCTCTCAAAGGCGATAAGAACAACTGTCAGGATTGATACGCATATTGAGATTTCTTGCGACATTGATACAAATATACAAAGAACAAGTCCTAGCGTTCCCTCGACCAGCCATTGAAGGCTGACGAGAATACGAGCGATCATTCTTGGCATGTAGACTAAAGTGATAAGAAGATCTGCGAGCACCATGTTCATGATGCAGCAGTTGATCGCGGTCTTCATTGTTTTGCTTTTGAAGTAGATGAACGCCAGTAAAGTGTTACCTACGATGGAAGTGCCTATCACGAGAACGTAGGCAAGGACCATGAACACCTTCAAAACGCGATTGTTCGTAAAAGTGAAGCAGGGTTCGTCTGTTATATCAAAAGTTTTCTTGGAGTCATTATTGATGACACTTAAACTCAAGTTTGCCATATCACACTAACTGATTCAGTAACGCATAATCGCGAAGAAAAAAAGAAAAATTCGGCTGATATCGCTGTTCCCCGTTTACCGAAAAAGTGGATTTCTCGATTGTCGTACGAGTTTGAAGCATTTAGTTCTGCCCCAAGTTTGAAACATCAGTCTTGCTTCCATGTGGTTAAATACAGCTGCTTACATGCATAAGGCGGTATTCAAAAACGAAAAAAAAAAAAAAAATTAGAATAGAGGCAAAAAACGTCTGTTTCGGATGTCATTCATAATTCTTCCATTTTCAGTGTTCTTTTGTAGCGCAATTTAATTGATTTTATCCGAATAAAGAGAACAAAACCTGGTTCAAAAGGACTGGAAATCTCCAGATTTAAACAAAAATATTGCATCTCCAAATGCGGTTGTGAGAATTTTTTTCTATATGGTATGGACGAGTATCGAGAAGACTAAAGATCTCAATACGAAAAATTAAAAAAAAAAAAATACCCAAATTAAAAATGCTTTCTATACAATCGACGTCGGCATTGCGTGAAAGTTACCTAACTCGAGAGGGTGTTTGGAGTGATTTATTAATAGTAGGGGGTAATGAAAATAATAATAATGATAATAACATTAATAATATTTCATAATACATTGTGTTATTATTAGTATAATCAGAAAAGGAGAAGATGAGAAATAGGGAAGGGCTGAAAAGAAAGAAAGAAAGTTAAAAAATAGGTCACAAATGATAGTGAAAGTGACAGGTGACAAAAAATGCAGCTTACCTTATTAAAAATTCAACACAATCCTTCACGTCATTATGCCCTCAATCCCTGTCACTGACATGTAAATTTGCAAAAATAACAAACGTGCTAGATTATTTAACATATTTAACGTTTCCTGAGAAGGTGTTGGGAGGTACTTATCAAAAAAAGTGAGAAACGATTTTACGTTCTGGATGGCCTTCAGCTCCAAGCTGTTATTGTCAACCTTACGAAGAACCTTCTGTTTATGTCTGCTGGTGATCTGTGGTAGGAGGGATTTTGACAGACTGTTGTCTTTAACCAAATTTAACTATCAAACAGGCTTAATGTATCAATTTTGTTCTAAAATTTTGTTTTCGGTTGCAAATTATGGTTAAATTCGTTGATTCTGGCCTTTAATAATGCTACAATTCTGAAAACGTGAGCAACAAAAAAAAGAATTAATTTGGAAAACAGGCGAAGTTATGGAGAAAAATATCGTGCTACTTCAACGGACAAGTCAAACTTTATTTGGATCACTGAGTAGAGGTTGCTGAGAATTTAGTAAAACGCCCGGCTGATGTTGAGAGTCAGCTCATATTTGTCTAACGAAATTATCGGAGACAAACTGCAATAATTTTAATTTTAGTGTTGAGATAAGGCTGCATAAAAAAATTGTTCTCCTTCTTTCTGGTACTCAGCAATCTTGGTATAATTTAAAGCAAAATAATTGGTTTGCTTGTGCCAGTTAACAATTATTTTTTGTCAATGTCCTTCTTCTATTCCCCCCGATTTAAAAGATCATTTCGGTTCAGAGATTATGAAGACAGAGAGTGTAGCGACCTCACGTGTGATTTTTCTCTTGGTTTTATCTGCGAAAAGACACCAGCTAGCTGAATTTCCGTTACTATTTAGGATGGTTGAGCGTGTCGCCGTGTGACTTTTTTAAGTTGCTCTCTTTCCAATGAGTATCAATTTTTATCAAAATTAAACAGTTTCTTTAA